TTCCGTGCTAAATCGTTGGATCATTAAGTTAGGTGTGAACACAAACAAGAAAGTAAGCAACGAGACTTGCATGCAAAATCTTATTTCAGAATGATTAGAACGGAAAAAAATAGTATACAGCGATTATCTCAATAGTTTAAAGAAAATTTTGTTTCGTTAGAATTTTACACAAATTAATTAAGCACTTTATTAAAATTATTAGTTCAATTTATATACTAATGTATAAACATAGACCATTAAATATTATATCAATTAGGTTATTGAAAAAGATTTTAACAATAGTTTACTACTTAGATAAAAAATTTTTCATGCATAAATGTGTATAAATGTGTATAAACGTAATAAATATTCATAAATATATATATAATTTTACATTAAATATGTCCATATATCCTTCTTTCTTTTGTAAAATTATTTTTTAGTTATTTTTTATGTTTTCACATTACTATTGTTATTTCTATTATACTAAAAAATAATTTCACAAAAGAAAGAGGAATGTATGAATATTTACGTATGTTTATACATATTTATACATATTAATGTATGAAAATTTTTTCACCGTATAGTAATAAGAAGAAGTGCGTAATTTTTCGACATATAATTTTTCTTTAAAGAAAAATCAATTTTTTAGATTTCGATATTTTAAATAATGTTTACTGTTTTAAATAATTTACTTTTTGTATAAAAGATAATAAAAAAATATGTAAGAAGAAAATGGGCCATATTCATATAAAGATTATTCACGATCGCGTAGTATTTGATTGAATTTTTATTAAATCACTCGATCGTTTCCGCGAATGACGGCACTCCATAGATCATTCTCGATCTCGATCTTATACGCGAAGAGGCCGGACATTGCACATTCCTTGCGGACGTATTACGAGCTGTTGCGAGTTGCGATAACATCGAGTTAGGGTGCACCATGAAGGTGCGAATACATCCTTGCGAAGAAGTGGAAGGCACCTCGTTAATCCATTTCATTCTCGAGAGGTAACAACTTCTATTTTATTATTTTATTATACCAGATAGGTACTAATTTACGATTTGTCTGATTGTATCGAGATTTTATAAGCAAATGTCCTTCCATTGAATTACATTCTTTCTGTATGTTCTTATTGGCTGGAATAAGAAAATTTTTCATTATACAATAAATAACTGTCGTTATCAGCAAAAGCGTTATTTTTTATGGATGGGGCGTGTCTCACCGATAATAATAACTTTCCTCGAAATGTAGACGAAATGCTTTTTGGGCTTCGGATCATCTTTTTATCGTCTTTTCACTCTTTCTCATCCTCACTCTGAGTCTTTCTCGATAGCAGCAGAAGTAACTCCTCACGATCTAGTGTATATATGTGAATGATTGAACTTTCATTTCCATTCACATTGCCATTTATATCGCCGCGAGCGATTAATCCATTTCTCCTTTTAACGCGCGCGAGCATTACTACGTGTCTGATTTATTTTCGCTCACGTTCACCGATGTTTTTCCTTTCACCTCCCTTTGACGTGGCTACTCTCAACTGCGCGGTCAATTCCGCCTCCGGAGAGCATCCTTTATCTTTTATGTGTACTCGGTTGCTTCTTCCTCTCGGCTGGTGAACGGCTTTTAAGAGTATCGCACAGATTTCACGCGTTTCACGCGCTGCCCGTGAGATGATCAGTGCGGATTTACGATGATCATAACTGATTTGATAGTATTTTATAACAAAATTTCGCAGCAAAATAATTTTCGATCCTGTACAATAATGTGTGTAATTAAATATATAATTAGTTTCCTGCTAGTTTAAATATACATAATATAAATATACATTCCAACAAGTCATCTATATATTTGCTGATTCCTATGATGGATTTAACGAATACATCTAGATATGGTTAACACATTGGAATTCCCATCCTTGCTCACGAATAATCTTTTTATCGAAATCTCTTCGTTACAAGAATAAAATATTGTTTCTTTCGATTGCAACACACAAATGTGTATGATTTGTTCAAACATTCTAACTTTCGCTTAACAAAAACGAGAGGTTAATGTTTACTCTTGCAATTGTGAAATTTCTAATAGAAAGTAATGCACGTAGTTATTATAATAATTGTGAGCTGAGTTCATAATACATTGTTAATCATTGTGTTCTGAGAAGAGACGAATTTATATGAAGATTGCCATGTAGGCTACGAATAACATTTTTAACTTATGTGCAGGGACACATTAAAAGTACAGGCCGTTTCTCACACGACATTGGAGGAATATTCACAAGCATTCTGTTGATAATTTTATGCGATACCATAAACTATAATTTTTCATGTGTATAAAATTTTTATTTGAAATCAAAGTATTGTCTCTACAGGAAGTTTTCAAATTTTAGAAACATTTCCTTCGCAATTCTTTAAATTAATTAAAGAGCAAAAATATATAAGTTAAACATAAATAAAAAATTATTGCTAATTATAAATTTGACAAATTTGTGATAAAAGTAAACAAGTGTATACAATCATGTAATTCTTCTCGCAGAATATTACGTACAGTGTACCTATACGTAATTGTCAAATTGCAAGAAGTCGAATACCAGGAACAATTAGCGATTGTTTCGCAATCTCATGAATGAATATAATCCGTGTTTGCTTCGAGACGGCATGCCTGCATCGCTTTAAATAATAAACCGGCGCCGGACATAATTGCAAGCCGTAATGTAATAAATAATACGGCGCGGCAAAGACGTGGATTACCACTTATAAAGCGTATACGATAGAAGGTGCACGAATAATTAGTCTGCGATTGCGAGCAAATCAAGTTCTTTGCTACCGTTACAAATCTCGCGAAATGAATGTGGTATGGTATCGAGGCGATATAGAGATCTCACTCTTTTGACGTCTACGCAACACACATGTAACACATTTGAAAGGATAGAGATCATTAACAATTTCCCTGACGAAATTTCCTTTGTCGTCAACTTTTCCGAAATTAAAATTTTAATATAAATTTTAATTTATATAAAAATTTAATTTTATACTTAAATTTAAGTACAAATCAAAAGTACTGTGTTTCTCTTTCGTTATTTTCTTGTACAAGTAATAACGAAAAAAACCTTTTTGTTTTAAAAAATATAATAATACACAAACGATCGGTGAGACAATTGAAAATAAAGAATTGAACAAAATTTTAATCAACAAATAATATTGCATTAATAATATTTATTGTACTAACAATATTCAAATACGTTCCTTAAGAAATGTAAAATTATGAGAAATGCCCAGGTATTATACTAATGATGAAGAAACGTACGTTCTGTGAGTGAGATGCATAAGCATCTTTAACTCTACGTTGAATCCTATGCGCGTTCACTCTCTCACACCTTGACCTTCCTCAACCGGGAAGTCAACAGCACCCTCGGGGAGTACGTACGAGCACGTAAAAGCGCATGTATAAACGTGTCCATTATGGCACATCGGCTGACATGAATGTGATTTCAATGTAGTTCATTTTCAGGCGCCGAGAAACTAGCGCCCATTATTACACGTTTGTGTAATTAAATAGATAATCAGTTCCTTCCAATTAACATTTCTAACGGTCTAAGAATATCTTGTCATCGCATTAAAAAAAGATGAAATGAACTTCTTGCTACGTACCTTTCACGACTGTTTATTTATTTATATGTAATTTGTTTATTTTTATTGCTCGAACAAGATAATTCATTACGGTATTTTTTGGAATGTGCACTGAGATATGCTCTACATATAATTTTTTTTAATATATCATATCTTTTTATATTTATTTTACGTTTCATTTTCAAACGTATCATTCCATTTCTTATTCCTATACACAAAGAGATAGAAAGATATTTCAGTATTCGACGTACGTTTGTCTCAATTTTTACTACGTAACATAAGTTACCTGATGAGAGCTGATTTGCCGAGAGCACATCATCCTCCCCCGGTTGAAGACGTACTTCCATTTTTTTCAGACGTGAATGTAGATCTCTCGTGTGTAGAAAGAGAGAGAGTGTACTAGATATCGCTACTAAAGCGATCAGCTCGATCGTCCTATAAGCAAACAAATTATAAATCAATACGACATACATTATAATTATACGAGTATGTTTAATTATATTATATCAATTTTATGTTATTATTTATTTGTCTAGCATTATTCATTTTTTTCTCAACTTGCAAAATATTACTTTTCCTTTTTATGCGACAAATGATAATATCCCTTCGATTTGTAAACAATAAAGAATTTAATTCGTAACAATAATGGAGTGATATTGCAACGCCGAGAGTAGCCCTTTCGCAAGTTAAATATTGCAAGCCGATCGTCATCTAGGTTGGTAGTGAGAGAATCAGGGCACGGCGAAGCCATCCATCTCGTAATTGGTCGTCCCGTCTGGGAGATGATGTTTCTCTGTATGACCTGGTTCTTGGAGAATACTCATCGACCGTGAAGCTTGACGGTCGCTTCAATTTCGCGGGAATCGACGCAACAGGTGCATCATTTGTGCATACCACTTGCATTCGCATAAATACAATTAAATTGATAAGTGACTGATATGTTAAATTATACATATACATAGAAAAAAGTGATGAAAACCTTCTTACCTTTCACGGACCTGGCAGATTTGTTCGAAAAAGAAGACCTATCTTTAAGAATATAGTTCATTCTGTTCATTTCAAACTGTGATATGAAATGTGATACGTCTTATAAGATCTTTGAATTTGGTGGTATATAAGCGTTACTAATTAATTGTAATAAAAACGTAAAAGGCCGTGAAGGAAAGTACTGTAACGCGTTATTAGCTGAAGGCCTTTTTCTGTATACTGTTGCCCTGGAGCCCTTCCGTTTAACGAGCTGTGTAATATACACGATAGCAATAGCAACGGCATCGCGAATCACCCCGTGATAGCAATCGTTATTCGTACGGTATATCATAAATAATGCAATAAACGTTGCATTAACGCGATACAGGCGGCGCACGCGAGACCATTGTAATCGATTCCTTCCACGATTATGAGTACCAAGATTGCGCGATGCAATGCATAATAAATCGCGAAGCGCTTTTATTATCGAGCTCACCGGTAATCCTCGACCTGACAAAGAAAACAAAGAGAAATAATTGATTTTCCTCGTGTCGTTCGTCAGCGATCAATCTGGTAGAATCACATCGGGAGTCACGATTAAAGAGACATGCCGAAATGAAAGTCGTTCTAAATATCTCAATATTTTTTTCCTATCCGTGAACGTATCGCTATATAATCTCTGATTCAAGTACCTGATTCTAATATACCTGATCTCATGCAACCGCTTTAAGAATCCCATGTAATCGTCCTACATACAACTTTGATTTCGAATACGTCGCTTATTCTGTAATTTGATACAGTTGGGCTGTAATTATTAGGTGCGCAACTAAGTTCTCGCTGTTATTTTGATGCAAATGCCATGAAAATAACAGCGAGAACTTAGTTGCGCACCTAATATTTACACCGCGGTTACAGTTGCATACAATCTAATCCTTATTTTAGATACATCTGTGTCATTGCACGGGGAATTGAGTATTTCTAGAAAGACTTTTTATTACTTTAACATATGTATGAATATACATATTTATAAATATACAAAAATCATTGAAATATTAAAATTATTCAAAAAATATTAAGTCAAAATTATAATCACAAGAGAGAGAGAGACAGAGAGATAGTGAAATGAATCTTTATTATCATTATTTTCATATCAATTTTGTATACTTTGTGTGAAATAATAGATGAAATTGTACATTGGTTACATTTGAAATTGCAATATTTTTTAACTAACATTTTTAACGTTAACGTTCTACTTCTATATTATCATTATAATTTAATTTCACGAATAATTGCAACTTGGAAGGTAATTGCACTGCCATTGAACAATCGCATAATTTTGTCATTAGCGCAAATCGAATTCATAAAATACGAAAATATTTATAATTTCTGAATTTTTAAAGAAGTTAATACTAGAATAACTATAACCTAGTTTCTAGAGAAAGAGTATTATTCTGTATAAAAACACTTTTTCTAAGACAAAAAAAAAATTACATAAATTTACATTTAATTATACGTCTTGATTTCGTATTCACATCACATTCGTCAATCTTTTTTAATTTCTTAAATAGATATATTATGCGTGATTGAATCATTATGTCTTGCTTTGTTTTCTGTTCTTGCGTGACTTTTTTATGTCGTAACAAGCACTTCATTAATTAAAAGTCGAATAAGATTGCAAATGCTTACCGATATTTGATTTAAATGCTTAATTGAAACCTATAAATATTCACACTAATCCTAAATAATATATACATAATTTATACATGTCAGTTACATAGTTGTGATTAAATCAAATTTGTAAATTTGCAAAATTTATTTGATTCTTTTTTTGCTTATATTATATATCTCCAGTATATACCTACTTTGGATACTAGTTTTCGAGATTTAAGCGATATTTTCATTAAGCACAAGAAGAATTTATGGCTTTACGGTCTACTAAATGCCTCATTAGGAAACCTTAGACATTAACCGTGCGAGATGCTAAGTATTTCGTGAGAAAAGCCCTGAAATCCTTCCGAAACAAATGCGATGCAGAGATTTTCGTCCGCATTAAAATGTAATAGCAATTAGTGTTTTTGCAATTTGACAAGATCCAAATAATTTTATAAAAAAAAACGATATTTTTACAAAAAAAAAAAAAAGAAAAAGATGAAAGAAGTTAAAATGTATAGATTTTTACTGATTTCATAAAAACCTTAAAACATTACATACATATAAAATCAATCATTATTGTTTTAAATCGAGCATTGACATTAAGCATGCAACATGCTAATGTTATAACATTACACAAAAAACAAGAATAATATTATACTTTTCATTACTTAGTATTTTGAAAATCATGCATACAAAATTTTAAATAAAAATATTCCAGAATTTCAACTAATTTGAATTAAGTTTTTGCAAGTTTTGCTTTATAAAGTACTTCCCTCAAAAAAAAAAAAACAAAATGAGATATTATATTCATGTACAAGTATTAAATTTTTTTACGTGTGAGTTACGAGAATATCTATAATTTCTCAAATTATCTATAATTTGATTCCAGCAATTTGTATGTATACGCAAATCACTATCTTTCGCCATAATCCGTCGCGCTGATGCCGCTAGTTTCCTCGAGGATATACAAGGACGTTCTCCAGTATTTCATCGAGGTTCTTCCGGGCTTATCGGCGAAACCTAAGCAGATCTACTCGAGGGAAAAGCGAGAAACGAACGGTATCGTTCTGGCGGACGCAGTGTCAACGACACACAGAGAGAAGGGAACCGTAAGCTCTTAGGAACGCGTTTATATATACCGTAACGGGGTATATAAAAGAGCACCGTATATACATATACCTTGTGTACATAATAGCGAACGCGTATCGGAAATCCAATTGTCCCGCATGGTGAGAACATCGCGTGTAGGTATTCGATTCGCGAAATGTGCCAACGAGAACTGACGGCAAGAATGTTCAAGCGTTAGGAATTTCTATTCCAATGCGCGAGTAGGCACCTATGTGCCTATGCCGTTGGTTAAAGAGGTTTACGGGTCAGATCGTTTGATACTAATTTATCGGTACAGACTTATCGTTTGCGGCCTAATTTTTAAATTACAATTCATATCCTAGATAATATATATGTTGCAATATACCTTTTAAATATCTTATGTAAATATGTCGTCGAGGAAGATAATAAACGAGGTAATAAAGCAAGCGATAAACTGTGTTTGTGCGCGTTAATCTTTTAATTTCTTAATAGGAAAATGTGTCCTAGTAACAAAAATAAAAAATAAAATAAATAAAAAAAGAAAATAATTTTTTTTCCTCATTGTTAGATGTACCGTTTATATTAGAATTTTATTACACTGTTTTGTATTAGATTATTATAAATACATAATTGCGGGAAATGATTGTTGTCTTTTTAAATGATTTATTTTAGCATCCATGAGAAACAGGAAAGAGGAAATAAAACGTGTCTGAAGCACTCAAGACGCATTCAGACGCGTGCAAGTTCCTTTTGATTGTACTGTTAATTTCATTAAATTTCTTAAATGTGTTTTTCTCAGACTTGATCTTACGTCCTGATATATCATAGAGAAAAATATTTACGATTATGGAAGAGGAATGATCATGCGTTTTGTTTTAATCTTTCGTAATGGATCGTGGTAACGTTGGCAGACGCAACAAAGCCGTGAGGCAGCGCAGAGATTCGTGCTGAAATTGCAATGCAACTTTTGATCGCGGTCGATGCACCTTCCGACAATGCTGCTCGTTGCAATACAACGACCACAATTGACTTTAACGAGCGCGCGTATATGATAAATTATTGCCGTCGCTAGCCAAGCCAAAGCCGTATTCCAATAAAGTTCCGCGAAATGTATCTACTTCATAAATTCTCGGTACGTTCGTTCAATCTGTAATAGATTATTTTATATAAATATAAAATTTCGTTACTACTTCTCTTTGACTATTATACTGTATTTAACGTCGCAGAAACAGTTAAACTGCACGCACGGAATCGTTTCATTAACATCTGCTTCTTCAATTATATTTTTTTTTACTTGCGGAGCACGTTAGGTATTTCAATCCAGTTGAACGAGTTCTTCGGTGCTTTTGTTGGTAAATATATGCCGGATATCCCGATCGATTATGATATCTTTCAAAAGTACAGATTCTCTTCTCGATGCGGTAAAAACCGCATCTGTCGCTGTTATTTTGATACAAACGCTATGAAAATAACAGCGAGAACTTAGTTGCGCACCTAATATATATATATACATATATTCAAAGTTAACCGCAGGTAAGAAATTATACAGGTACGCACGTCCGACCCATGTTAATTTGCGACTTTTTACACGCTTAAGCAGACATGCCCTCTGACATTATGCATACTTTATTAAATCAGATTTTATGCTTGACGTACAGCTGACTATCTATAATGTCTGTTGATATGGGGGAGGTTGTTTCTCTATAATGGAAATACTCTCGAATGGTGGGCAATCTTCTATATGGCCACTTAACGCGCATTATCGTAGTCACACTTAATTGCGTTATATCCGCTCAAGTGCATTCGCGGCGAACACTTGATATCGTCATAGAGAAGTCGGAAGTGCGAGCAGACGGGATTCCACATGGCGAGAGAAGTGGCCGATAATGATAGTTCGAATCATCCAGGAACCCTTACTCTATTTTATGGCAGTGACACCTCCTCGTAATCTCGCATCCCAGGCTCTTCGATGCCTGCAGTTGCTCGCCTCATTTACGCAACGGACCTCCATAACTTTTATTTATAGATGGTGAAGATTCATTATTGCGAATACGCGCGGTTTTCTCGATCGGGCGGCAAAATTCATCACGCGGGACGAGCAGAAACGAGACAAATGGATCTGCATTCTTGCAAACGTCACGATGGTTCATCACTCACGTAGCAGAATTCGTAATTATCAACTGTATTAACATGAGATAAATGAAAAAGTGCGGAACGACGATGTTTATCGCATTGCATAATTTCTAATGTAAGTTGCAAAATTTTTAATTCATGAACTTCCTTCATCGTTGAAAAAAGGTCATATTTCATCAATGACGCTCCAAATAAAAATTTATTTGAAATAAGAAGATAAGAAATTATCTAAAGTTGAATATATTTCTCTGGTAAATTTCCTTTTTTGAGAATAACGCTTGAGAATACAGATATTTTGCTAAAAAGTCAACATTAATTATACGTAGATAAAGTTATCTAATTCTAATAAATGTGTATTACAAATTATCTATAATATTCTATAAATAAATAATGAGAATTTATTTGTCAATTAATCTCAAACTATGTGTTTATTTTCTATGTCTTTATTTCTAATTTATCTTATACTTATCTGATATACTTAATTATAAATCCGACATTTAATTTATACAATTCTTAATTACGAAATGTTTATACGTATAATATCGAATAATTACAATACTTGATTATAACATACTGGAAGTAGAAAACGCAAAGTGTCATCTTTAGATCTGTTAGGAAAGAGAGTCCTATTTACCGCATTCTACAATGTAGACCACCAACGTTCGTTTATGACTTATGACTTCACGCGCGCTTGAGGCTTGAGGAGGTCAATCGAAGGAAGAAATCGCAGGCTGATAAACCATACATTTGCATACGACATGGAACACTCGAGAATCGACCATTCACTATTTTCTCGCGCGGTTTCGCATTATTTTGCCATGATGAATCGATTTGTCACATGTCTAGCTCATCGCAAGAATCTTCGTGGTCGCGAGACCTTTAACTTGTTAGCTCGACTCTGATCCCGACGCGATGTCTGAATGCGATGTTTGGCGGTATGCCTTTCTTGCCGCTAACTTGATATTTATTTCAAAAATAATGACATATTCATGAGATGAAATAAGTATAGAAAATCTTACGTAAATCACTCATGTCATTACGTCCCGTTCATATTTTGTGTCGCAAACTTACGTTTACATATATATTACTGATAAAAGAATATCTGAACGCTAAAATAAAATATTTTTTGCAGTTATTCACTTTGTTAGATTTTCTGACATGTAGTGTAAATTATTTAGAATAATTTATTACTGATGGTACAGCCAGAAAGGCCGATTTTTTGATACAAAATAGATTTTTTTATGAAAATAAAATTTTTTATACTTTTCTAGAAGAAAAATGTATTCCAAATCATTTTATATATATTAGATTCATAATTTTAAGAGAATGTTTGAAAATTTATGCCTCGTATAATATCTAAAGACAATTATAAAGTTACGTTAAAATTACAACAGTGAAATACATTGCGTTGCACCAATATAATTAAAGGTAATGGTAAAAGGTAATTTAAATTAGGTGAATAATTTAATACTAATAATTATTTTTTATATTTAAAGAAGAATACAAAAATGTAACGTTTTCATTACCTATGAGATTTATATAAAATTAATCGTTCACTTTCTAACTTATGTATATCGATTATACTTGTACCTTTTAAATTTTATATTATGCAATTCAGCGATGCATAAATTATACGATCATTACATATTCGGAATTCATATGTTATTTTTAGAAAGAAATTACACAACCTAGCTATTGTCTTAAATTTATCCAATTTTATATTCGTATTTTCTTCTCTATTTTATTTGTTAACGATCTATTTTTTTAGAAAAAGATTGTGTAAACGATTGTGTTTTAAACAATAAAATTTCTTTCGACTTTCTTTATTCTCTTCTCTCTCTCTCTCTCTCTCTCTCTCTCGTCAAATTTTTAATTTTGAAATACTGAAAATAGAGAAAGAGGTAATACATTCTTACGTTCTGTTATTTATTTCGAATATTTTTATATGTGTAATACCTGCACATTAAAACAATTGAATTTTATAAAAAAAATAAAATAAAACAAAATCACACACGAAAAAGCCTCGATCGAGAAGGTAGATGATCGCTGGTTAAATTGAGTCACCACAGTGTACTTAACGGTTAAATACCTGAGCTCATTATAAAGAATATACCGGCAAGATACGGTATCCCTTCGTGCACTCTCATGCTGTATGCGCAGATAAATATTGATAACATCGTAGAAGATATTAATCGTACGCGCGTATAATTAGGCGCCTTTAATCGCGTTCGACATCCCGAGATAGCTTCCTTACCTCTTGGGAACAGGCACTCTCCTTTGCCGCCACATGTTCTCTTTCGGCATCCTGCCACTCCTTTCGAAATCCGGTCTTTTCTACACAAATTCTTCTTGGCGGCAATCAAACGATATCCTAAGAGATTGCGGTGGTCACGTGCGATCCATTGGAGAACGATTTGTCATCATCGGACACTTGTGTCTTTCGGCGCGCGGATGCTGCCGAGCTTTGACAATGGTCACTCATAAAGTCCATTCACTGAATCACTGCTGAATGACGACAGCGACGGTAACAATCGAAAAAAAAAAAACGTTCGTCTATGTCGAATGCTCGCCGTCAGGTGCAAACGTCAGCCGTTGGATTCCCGCAAGCGAGCGATTTTCCTGTCGATCGACACCCGCTACCAGGTCAACATCCTCGACGAGCCGATCGGTGTTGTTCAACGCGCGCCACTGATTGCGAGTAACTTATTTACGACATCGTGACTAATGTAATTTCGTTCAATTCGAATCGACGGCGGGACCGGATCGGAGATTCGTACAGGTTCCGGATATCGGAATCCGTGTGCGGCGACCGTCTACGTGGATGTTTTCAGTCATCAGTCTTTCGGCGAAGGTGTAATCGCGCTCGTGAGAGGATGCAGAAGGATGAGAGATATCCGCTCGCTCGATCTCTACCGACCTGTCTGCTGGTCGACACGCGACTGACGCTTTTCTTCGCCGTTTCGGAGCCTCGGTGCCGCGAAATACGGAGACGACACGCGATACGCTCTATTCCGCGTCCGCGCTCCGTTACTTGGTGGCACGTAATGCCGCGATTCTACTCCACATTCGCCGTGCCATCCTACCCGGGCCTCGGGCCCCGGGCCTCCTATTCCGGGGCCGCTTCCACTACGCGTCACGACCGCGACGTATCAAGTGAAGGGAAGAAGCGCTCGTTTTCACACAATAAAATTGGGCGATTGGACTTTTGTTGTTCTCTTTTCGAAACGCGAGCACACAATGTTGTACCGAAAGATCGAGTTCGAGCATGTATAAATATATATAAAAGATAAAGGAAATAATATATGAAAAGTATCTTTCGTTGTCTGGTTTCAAAGGATTTTAATTGTAATTAAAAATTTAAACTAAAATTGTATTCTAGAATAATTTCTTATCTTTATGTTTTTACATAAGTGATATATTGCACAGAATATATGTGATAAAGATAAGAAATTATTCTATTAGGTGTTGGAATTAATTCGTAGCGTTTTACAAGTGATGGGAAGTACTTTCATTAATGTATTTTTTAATGCTCATGTGAAATAAATAACATTCTTTCATTAAAAACGCTACGAATTAATTCCAACACCTAATAGAATACAATTTTAGTTTAAATTTTTAATTACCGTTAAAATCCTTTGAAATCAGACAATGTATTTTTCATATATTATTTTCTTTATCTTTTCGCTGTGATTTAAAGTAAATTTGTACTTTATAAAAAAAAATGTGAATAAGGAGAAGATAAAATTACACATCTCTGATTTCTGGTGACACAATTGCATAAAACGCGACGAAGATAAAAATTTATTCTAAAAATTAATTCTAATTTAAATTTTAAATTAAGACTGCTTTATATGAATTCATGTTACTTAGATCCTAAATATTAATCGTGGATATTTACCCTTAGTAATTTGAATATTTTGAGAAACATTAATTAATAATAATTATTGAACGTTTTTTCTGGGAAAAGTTATTAACTATGTGCAACACACGTACGGAAACATAACGTAATGCAGGAATAATTTTAAAATAATGATATTTCAAAGCGGAAGAAATTTAAATGCAACTGCGCAGCCTTCCAGATGGTCGCGGTCAAATTTATCATAACAGTTTTAAAGGAGTCAATAAAATGAGTTTCCTATCGGTACACATATATCACGCGCATTAGCTACATTTAATAAGACACGTCTTCCGAGTGATTTAGTGCCACATTTATTAGCCATATCGGATAGAAATTCTCATAAAAGTAACACAAACCGCATTGCATTTTATTAAAGCTAACAATTTAGTAATCGAGAGCTTCATAAAATGTTAATATATCGAATTATCCTAATTATCGATCAATAAATAAAAAAGATAAAAAAGAATATAAAAGAAGAAAGAAACAAGAATCTTTTTCAGAAAAATACAATAATAAATATGGATTTTCTTTCGGTAAATTAAACTCGAGCCAAAAGATTGTTTTTAATTCAAGAAAAGTCTTGTCAAAATAAAAAGTATGCCAAAAACATAAAGAAATCTTTGAAAGTAATATTAATAATTCTTAAAAATAAAAGTTAAATAATTGCTTTATGATACAAATAAGAATCGTGCTTTTGAAGGCGTTATCGTTACAGGCATATGAGTATGTAGAATGTGAAAGATGTAATTTGTTTCGCAATATTTACACTCGAGACTCGAGCTAAGAGCTTGTAATAAAAAAATGTGTTTCCGCACGTGAACGTAGTCTATTTTTCTATTTTCAACATTTTAACAATAAACGTGTTCCGTACCGCGATAAATATTCAATATTACAAAATATTGTGAATATTTGAAAGGCAGAATAGAACTAAATAATTATATTGAAACTGCACAAAGTTACAACAATTAATATAACATCATCTTGTCTCTTTTAAAAATAATATTTTACTAATTACTTATTAATAAAGAAATTATTATACAGGGTGTTAAAAAAACATTCAGCATTTATATTGTAGGTACATAATATATATCATACTGAGTAAAAAAAATCTTAGAACGTGAGTCTGAAATTCAATCGTTTTTAAGATATAAATAATTTTGTATGTTAGTATCATAACTGGCTTATTGGTTTCTACGTATCGTATATGACGTGAAGATTTACCTCAGTGTTTACAGACCACGAATATTCTAATTCAATTTCTATACGAGCTTTATAATAATAAATTTCACCGAAAGTCTAGTTGACATTAATCAGCTATCATAATTGAATGGGCATTATGGGAGATTTGGACATGTAATTCTTCCAAATAGACTATCAATTCTACTTATCTCATTTCTCTCTTTTCATATACAACATATAGAAAAGATAATAAGTCAATTATATTATATATTACATACAAAATCATTTATATCTTTGAAACGGTTAAACCTTTGATCTATGTTCATTAAGGTTTTTTGTTCATTATGGTATGTAAATACTATTATACAAATACTATTATACTGGTGTTTTTTAATTAATAATTTATGATAATTTGTTGTACATTGATATTATTAGAAGATATTAAATTTTTTTACGGTACTAACTTCATGTAAAAATTAAGAAAGACGGAAATAATATTAAGCATCTTATTTCTATTTAAAATCAATAATCATTAATTAGTTATTATATTTTTTTTAAAGAAAATTTTTATAGAAAGTCTCGAAAATTGATTTTGTAGCAACAGAGACACATGAAGGTTTATATCTAAAAATTTATATAAAAAAAAGAGAAGAATCAATTGGCAATACTTTCATTGTACTCTCAATAATTTGAGCTCTCACTTTAATTCCCGTTTTCAATACAATGATAGGAAGACAGTTAGAACACTTAGAAACTCACATTGAATTTCACATTGAATTTCGTATTCAAGCGATTAGCATGGCCGCATCAATATCAAATGAGATTGCAATCAAAGAAATCTTCGAAAACAATAGTACGCTGTTCTTTACATCGCTACACACCTAAGCAACAATGCAAGGCCGGCATTCGCATGTATGATATTATTACTTTGATTCAATTGTACGCCATTGCGTACAATTCAATTATGACTTGGCATAATTATTCGACCGATAATTGTTTGCTGGGAAGTGTTGTACGCAACCTTATGATTCTCAGATTTTGAGATAAAGAATCGTGAAAGAAAAGATATTAACTGTAGTCATACCTTTGTATGTTTGACTCATTGTATTTTTTTCAAATTATGAGTTTATTTTTACGGAGATTATACTATTTTTCGAATGAAAATTTTATTACTTAACGTATTGCGTGACTTATATATTACAAAATTATTACAGAGGCAATCAAAAACGATTTTATTAAATGAAAATACAATATTATGTAATATAAGATTGAAAAGATTTGAGTTACTTTAATTATTGTTATTAATCCTAATATCAGGGCTCGATCTTATTTCAGTAAATTTAATTAAAATATATATACATATGTGAAATAAAAAAATTTGGAAAGTTATTTAGTATGTATTATTTCAAATAACTTTTTCTGACTTATTTCTTACTTAATATTTTAAATAAGTTGTTAGAACTTATTTTATATTTTATATTTTAAATAAGTATCGTATCAATTATTTTACCAAGTCTTGCCTAATACTTATGTATCCTATCGAGGTACAGTTGAGATTAATAAGGTTGCTAATTATTTGACACAATTGTATTGAAGTAATTATTATTCCACGACGAGAAAAATTTCTTCTATCCTTTTTACCATCCATATTATTCTGTTAATATTAATAAAGAAAATTATGGGGAATTTTTATACATTTTACTTAATTTATTCAGCTCGAAGGTTTAACATAAATTTACATACAGTTAATTAGCACCTGATGCACCTTGCGCGAGGATACGCTGACACCTTTATGTTTCGTGATCCGTGAAATATTAATTCCGAAAATTAAAAGTTATATTTTTTCTTATAGGAATAAATTAAAAATAATATCCCGATGTGATTATGCGCTGGATAATCAATGTCTGAAACTGGCGTTGAAAAATTATATCCGTTATAATAGATAAGCTCTTATATCCGTTATAATATATAAGCTCTGTCACTATAAGTTTGATAGAATATATAAGCAGAATAATATTCATAAATGATGTAATTAATCTTGACAGATGTTATGTAAATAGAGAATATATGGCGAATATTATTGAAAAACACGTAAGATAAGCTGAAATCATAAATTAAAAGAAATGTGGAAAACAGTGTGTAATAAAATAAAACTTTGTTTATCATATTTTACACTATAATTATTTTAAATATATGTATCTTAAAACTTCTGTTGCAAAATTTATTATTTGTATATCAAACGTTAATTGTTACTTTTTTTTGGAACTGAAATGATAATAGCGCGTTTTTATTCTGTAAACACGAGTCCAAATTTTGTTTATTTTATCATATTTTACCATATTTTACACCATAATTATTTTAAATATATGTATCTTAAAACTTCTGTTGCAAAATTTATTATTTGTATATCAAACGTTAATTGTTACTTTTTTTTGGAACTGAAATGATAATGGCGCGTTTTTATTCCGTAAACACGAGTCCAAACTTTGTTTATTTTATCATATTTTACCATATTTTATACCATAATTATTTTAAATATATGTATCTTAAAACTTCTGTTGCAAAATTTATTATTTGTATATCAAACGTTAATTGTTACTTTTTTTTGGAACTGAAATGATAATGGCGCGTTTTTATTCCGTAAACACGAGTCCAAACTTTGTTTATTTTATCATATTTTACCATATTTTACACCATAATTATTTTAAATATATGTATCTTAAAACTTCTGTTGCAAAATTTATTATTTCTATATCAAACAAATTAATTGTTACTTTTTTTGGATTGAAATGATAATGACGCGTTTTTATTCTGCAAACACGAGTTCAAGGCTGTATTCGAATCTTGCGGAAACGAGTACTTTTATTGTGGAGAAGGCAATTCGAAGTAATGGCATACAGGAAAGAGGTGTAATGCGTGATCACTCAGAGAGTGCGCGGTTACTCGCGGATTAATATGCGAGATATCGCCTCAACC